AACTGATCTGAACTGAACGTCTTGTGAAAAAGTGAACTTTTGGACATTTGTGGGGAATGCGTCAAACTCTTTTCTTTCAGATAAACGAAGATCTTTCATTTCATTTAGTCTATTTAACATAATCCGAATGAATAGTTTGACTATAAAATGAACATTTATCCGTCAATATTCTTTTAAAATGGTTTTTGTTTTAAAATTAAAACATTATTTAAGAACATTCAATCTTTTTGAGTCTTATTATTTACCATCAACCACAATCGATCAGCATCATAAATTAGAAAATGAATTAATATCAACACGTCTTTATATTCTTTTATTAATCATTTCATTTGTCATTCTTGTTTTCTATTCATCATTAATACGAATAACACAAACAGTTATTGTTAATGAACCATCAATTACCAAATATACACAAATTTATGAACGGTATTCACAAACATTGTCATGTCCATGTGATAGGATTTCTGTTTCATATAAAGACATTATTCAAATACAACCGTTTTATCATCAAATATGTTCATCAGATTTTATTAAAGATCAATGGATTTTTTATATTAATAATCAACCTATTGATAATGATGATATGGATCCACGTGATTTTCGTTTGACTGGTGGTTCATCATTTCGAATGTTACAATATATATGTCAGACAAGTAATTCAACAATTTTTAATTCTATATCTACATTTTATTCAACACAATATATAACATCAACCCTTATATCAAACGATTTATTTAATAAACAAATAAATGCAGAAATTAATTTATTTATATCAACTACAATATCAACATACGCACGATCATTACAATTAATACGTAGTACAACTCAGGCTAATGGTTTAATATCAGCATTACAAACAAATGTTTACTTTGTAGAACAAGATCCAAATTATTCCCAAACTACGGGTATTATAATAGAGCCACAGGTATACAGTACTACTTCAGAGTTCAACAAATCAGATATATGTTTCTTTGGATCAAAATCTGTTTTTTTCGGATGTTCCGACAAATTTTTTTGAAAAAAATGTTACTGTTTTTCCGGGCTTTTAATGGCTTTTTCGAGAGATTTCGGGAGCGCGTCAACAGTTAGCATGAAATGAGGAAAAAAAAGCATTTTTTCTAAAAATATTTCTGTTCGATATGTCATGTTAAAAAACTAAGACAACCGAATTCAACTTTTAAATATCCAGGAAAACCTTTTCGAAACAATTAACCATCTCAGACTTTCCATCATAAAAATCTAAACAAACAAATGATTATAATTTGCAAGGGACTTTAGTTCTCGAAATGAAAATAATGAAACAATGAGTTGAATAAAATTCTCAGCTTTAATAGAAAAACTCGCAATTTCAATAGTTAAATAAAGTTTGAGAAAAAATGATTATATGCAAATTAAAGATCTCATCTTTTTATATAAGGTCCACGTAAAATTCTTTGTAAAACATGTTGAATCACAGTCACAAAAGGCTTACGATTTGTACAACTATGAGAAAAATATGAATTTTTTTGACAAAATATGTTGATTTTGACAACAAAATGATTTTTAATAACAAAATAAATTTGATATTCGGAATCAGAACCAAATCAAACGCTGTTGGTTTCAATGCTCTTCTCAAATAGATCTTTTTCCTTCAAAAAAACATTTTAAGCTTGTCGGACAAGCGTTGCTTTTCGAAAGAGTGTTCGTCTCCCATTTCGAGTATCCGATGCTGTTTTAATCCGATTCACCATGATTCATCAGTGAAAACATGAACTACTAGAAAATTTCATGAATTTTTATTTTCAGGATTGTGATTCTTTGGCTTTTTCCCTATCACGAAAATTTGTTTCTACATATTTAAAAGTATTATATTTACTTCTACCAGAGTGTCTTCGAAAACCTTGTCAAAAAATAGTTGAGGCTGCTTCTTCTGAGTACTTTCTCTGTTTAAGAACTTTTTCCAGTTCTGCCGGTCGTTGAGCTACTTTTACTCTTTAAAGCTCAATGAATAATTGTAGGTCCATTTGAATGGACATTGCCATTATCATTATAACAAACTAAGGAAGCATTGTTGGGAAAAGTTGATCTTATATCCGTTGCAGAGAATTAAATTGGCTATCGAATGCTAAAAGAAAGTTTCTTTATGTTGTATGCTAGCTGAGATATTCAAATTTTATAATGAAGAAGATTTAGAAAAAATTCACTTTTTTTAATTTACTCTTTTCAAGTACTTTAGAAAAGGCTGTTTGTTCAATGACTTTTCAAAAATATGTAGGGAGATGTGCTCTATCAAATTATCTCAGCTAAATAAATTATTGTTGGAAACTGTAGGCTGCTGATGGTGCAAAACGAAAGGGCATATCTTGCTGGGATTTCGGGCTCCGTTGCTCGGTCATTCTTGATTTTCTTCACCATCTCAGCTCATTTTCTGTCTCAACTTCATCAAACATAATGGTCTAAACTCAGATACCTTTGGTCTTTGGTTTCTAACGAGAATTTTTCAAAAAATAATTTTCTTCAAATTTTCATTGTAAATAAAAATTATAAAATAAAAAGTAATTTTTTCCAAGCATCGAGGTCTCATATGTTCCATTTTCATAAGCGGTTGACCCAAAACATAGCGCTGAAGCCTTGGGGACTTAAAGGGTTAAAGATCTTCTTTCGTTCAAAACAAAGGTTGAAAGGCAATACAAGACCTTCTCGTTTTGAAAGTCATTCTCAATACCTTCTATGGTTTAACACTTTCGATCACATTCTCCGTAAACAAGAAGTAATTAGAAAAGAGAAGAACACGAATTCTCTCCATTGTTGAAGACCTGAGACTTACTGTAGCAGCCTGTAATAGGCCTGCTCTAGCTCTCTTTGTGGACTTTCAAACTGCGTTTGATAGAATGTGGTATCCTGCACTAAGGAAGACACTGAGTGATTTGGAGATGCCTCTTCCCCTTCGACGCTGGATTTTTGGTTGGTTGCAAAACCGATCGATGTTCATAAGTCATGGGAATGCGGTATCTAGAATCTTTAGTGTCCTTGCTGGCGCTCCACAGGGATCCGTTCTGGCTGCTCTACTCTTTAGACTACACATACACTTTTTGCCATCGTATTTTGCTCGGGCAATGTCACATTTATA